TTACTTGTGATGGCAAAACATTCTTCAGATGATAGCCTTTATACGAAGGCCATTGGTGTTGTATAAGTAAAGGTGCTTAACCGTTTTTCCCAAGACAATGTAGAAAGGTAAGCAAAATAATTTAATTGCTTTTGAGTAAAGCTGAACTAAAAGTTGCAGTTCTAAGGTGTAATCTAGGTAGATTATTCAAAATATTTATGGATAATTATTTTTAATAGTTTTTGTTTAAATTATTATTTTGAATTCGAAGGTTAAATTTATGAACTGAAATTTATGATTTATTTTATTTATGAATTACTTGAAAAAGTAGTCTGCCGTCAGTTTGTCTGAGTGTTTTTCTCTTAAACCGGCGGAGATGTTGCAAAATGCAACATTTGTTTAAATAATATTTGGCCCATATCGCCCCCAGTAAGGAGTAGATGAGTTTAGACGAGGAGTGGTAGGATAGAAAATCCACCATGTTTAATGATTATTTGCTGTAAAATGGAATTAAAAATAATTGTTTTGGGTAAAAAATATATTTTGTACTAGGAAAAAATATACAACTTTTTTTCAATATAAAAAAATAGAATTTTTACACTGTAATCTAACATACACTAGGCTAGTTTCATTGCAATTTTCTTGGCAGACTGATGATGCAGGGTCTCAGCATTTTTCAGGATTTGCTAAGTCCACTGGCTACTTCCTTTAGTATCTTTATAGTATACACAGTAGGCTTCTTGATTAAAAAATACTGAAATTAGAAAAGTAAGCAAATGTAAATGCTGGTCTGTCTGTCCTACTAAATATTGGTCCTATTATTCGAACTGGTAAGAACAGATGGACCATGATTTCACTACTATTTGGCTTTCATCTACTGGATATTTATATGCTATAATTTTGGGCAAACCCGTAATTAAGGCTTACACATTGATTTTAAAAAAAAATACTCACCCACAAACGATGTAAACATAAAACGTCGTAAAAATTTTTTCAGCTTGCGCTTAACTAACACGTCCAAATTTGAAAACAAGACGTTTTGATACCACAGAGACAATTAGAGTCCTACGCTTACGAGGCTAGACTGACTGTCGCTGCGTGATTGCACTGTCGAAAAATCGACATTTTTAACTCATCTCACTCATCACTAGGCCATCTCCCCTACCGATGCATCTCTCCTTACTTTACCCAACTAATAATAAAGCGATATAGTTTAGGATAGGCCTGGGTGACTCGGTGAATTTTGACATTTGACATGACATGAATTTTGGCTTGGTGCGCCAACCCAACGCACCGATCATTAACGCACCGTATACAGGGTGGCCATTTTCTGAATCTTTGAATTGGTAACTTATACATTTTTAAAGATAGGGAATCTCTTAAATAGGCAAAATTGGGCGGAATTCGATTGCCTATTCATTACCGTTTTCAAAATTTAGATACCCGACTTGGTTCCTAAAATATCCTGAAAAGACAAGAAATCAACATCTTTTTAATTATTACTTATTACGTAAACTGCTTAACTTAGAAAAAACTTAAAACTGCCCTTAGTACAACTTTTCGCGTTAAATCCAATAAACTAGCACTCGTTATCATAGTCAACTTGGTTTACGAGATAAAAAATAAACGTATGGTTTTTTAAATGTAGTAGCCCCGGTGTTGCAACTAAAATTAATTTCCCTGCAATACTACAGGGAAATAAATAAATTATTTAAAAAAAATAATTTCCCTGTAATATTACAGTTGTGTTATATATAACACAACTGCTGAGTAGCCCATTGGAAACACGGTTGGTCTCAAGACCGGAAAAAATGTTGAGGGTTTACAGGTTAGGCGAGCGACCTAAAAGAAACACAGTGCTTTCATTTCTAAACAGCAAAAAAACAAGATATGGGAAGACAGTCTAAGGAAAACGAACTCATCACAGAGACCAGAAGGTGGGACGAAGATATCGGATGGGAGACAACGAAATCAGAGTGATACGCTATCCTGACGATGCTGTATTGATATCGAAGAGCGGAGGCGATTTGCAACGGTTTATTTATAAGTTCGAACAAGCGCAACACATTCCTGGCGTTTCATTCTTAAATTTGAGAGCACTAGAGTACGCGCACAATTTGTCCATTTCGTCCATTTTGTCAATGAGAGCACTCGGATGAAGTATATAATATAATAATATTATATACTAATATAAGTAACATGGTAACGGAATACACAAAGATTCAAATCATAGTTTTGTGCTCTCTGGATTGAGTATTGCTTATTCGAGAACTCTGGAGTCTTGCTGCTCGTTGTTGTGGAGTTTCACACAACAACTTTGAAAAGCGAATAATTATGTGTAGTCATAACTCGAATATTCGAATATCCGACTACACCAACATTATCAAACTCACAAGGTGCAAATAAGTTTATATGCACTTTGTCTACTTTTATAAAATAAATTATTCACATTTTACAAGCATTTAAATAAATATCCATATATTTACAAGCAAACGAAAATAATCATATTTACTCTCCTGAAAATGAATGTAAAATTACGTCTCTGTGTTCTGGTGATACGCGTCATCAACTTTTGCGCGGTGTTACAATTAATGTGCCGACAAAGGCA